CATGCAATATCCTAGAATGGTACATATGTTAGTCACTGGATTATATCTTTTTTTAACCTCCGTCTTTATTTTACGTGTATGGGTGTTCTGCCTGTATGTATGCCTGTGTACATGTGCATGCAGTAACCACTGAGGCAGAAGAAGGCGTGAGATCGCCTAAGACTAGAGTTACAGACAGTTGTGAACCACCATGTGGGTGCTAGGAATCAAATTCGGGGCTCCCTGCAAGAATATTCAGCGGTCCTAGCCTCTGAGCTATCTCTCCAGCCCAATGAATCATATCATAAGTTAGCTTCCTAAATAAATAAGAGTATATCCAAAAACTCCTAAGTTCCAAGGTGTGGAGACACACACCTGCAATCTTAGCACTCAGGAGGCTATGGCAGGAGCATCAAAAGTCTGCCAGCCTTGTCTACATGATGAGTCTGAGGCCAGCCTGGGCTACATGAGAGCCTGTCTCAAAGACACATACAAATACACACAAACACACATAGAGAAAGACAGAGACAGAGAGATTCTAAAATATAAAAACTTCAAGTTCACAAAGTTTAATGTATAAACAGGAGAAAGGATGACCAAGAAGGTTTAGGAAATATCGGATTGAACTTTCTAAGTCAGAATATTTAATAACAACAAACATTAGGAATCTCAAAAAGGGGGCACAGAATATATAGCCTTTCTTGGACCAATTACTAAATAAACCCTAAGTAATCCTTTAAACATCATTCTCCAGAAATACAGTCTGAAGAATAAGCTTATAAAAATAGATCAGACTCCAGTTCAAACTGTGCTAAGTGTGTTAAGGGATAACCTTACCTAAAATTAAACAGTATTATCAGAATAACTTCCTCATAATCAAAACCCAGACTTTTACCTGGCACAGTGGGGCACAACTGGAGTCCCAGCTGGTCTGAAGGCTGAGGCCAGACAATCCTGAGCCCAGGAATTTGAATCTAGCAAGGATAACACAGCAAGATCCCATCTTAAAAAAACTAAACACAAGCCACACTTGGCAGATAGCTGGCAAGGGGAAATCTGGCCCTGCTCTGACTTGACCACTCTGACACTTGCGCACTGACGTGTTAGCAAGGCTGGATGACCGACTGCTTCTAATCCACAAACCCAATCTCTCAGGTACAGAGGACGAATACCTTGCCGATAACATCACCTAACCTGCAAATACTGAGGCCAAGACCCACATTCTCAGACTCACGTGGTAATCCGTACTCTTAAACACTCTACTACAACCCGTCCATTTATAT